AGAATAGAAATACTAGCAATATTAATGATACTTTCATTCTATTTCAAAATACTAATATAGTATTACTATCTTTATAAACTATAATGTAACTATTAAAATATGAAATATCATATAGTCACAACTACTTATGTTATTAAAAAAATAGATCAAAATAGTTAACTGGTTACTTTGAATAAGGATAAAAAATCTAGTTAAGAAATAAAGTCTTACCTTAATATTAGAAAAAGTCTATATATATAAAGAAAATTATTTTAACAATATAATAAATTTACTAGCAAAATTAGCTAAAAAAAAAATTCAATAGAATGGTTATATATATAAAAATAGATATAGTCTTCTCTATAGCTATATAAAAAGGCCTAGTCATTGATATTGATATCCAGAAGTTTATTAAAGAATGGAATTAAAAAAAGATCAGTATTAACTGGAATAATAAAAAATAAATTCAAAATTGATGAAATAAAGAGAAGAGAAAATCAAAATAAACAAAATAGTCTTTTTAAGTCAGTTTAATATATATTATATATTATATACATCCTTCAAGAACAATAAGAACAAAAGCTTTTTGATGAATCTTACATATGAAGAGTTTTCTATATTATAAACACTCAAAAAGTGAAAATCAGAAATTTATAAAACAACTACTTATATTAGTTGCAGAATTTATAAAAAGACAACTGGTTTCCTGTTCTTGTATTTAACAACAAGCTTTAAAAAACTAAACATTTGAAAAGAAGCAAGTAAAAAGTTTGCCTAATATTTTACTAATCAAATAAAAATGCAGAATAAAGATCAAAAAGCTATCTATTAAGTAGTCTATATATGATTTAATAAGATATAGCAATAGAAATAGAGTTTTTTTAAAATCATATATGAATATATGTATAAAAATAAAACAAGAAATATTAAAGACTTCCTCAAATTACATTATAAGATAAAGGTATGTATTACAAAAAAGATCTGAAATGATTGTTATAAAGTAGTAATTAAGTAAAAAAAAACTTTGGACATTAATAAGAAATCTAAATAATACTGAATTCTAAAGAAGAAGTATAATAATATAGAAAATCCAAAGAAAAAAAATAGTCATTTATCAAAAAAAATCTTAACTAAAGATTTAAATATATAAACCTCAAGGTGATTATTAAATGATAGATAATAAAAGATAGAAAATAATTAGATATTTGATCTGCCATTTAATTAATTTTTAATATTATTATTGATACTTAATTAGTATAGATTATTTTATCAAATATAATACATGATATAATTTATTATAGATTAGGTAGTCTAAAAGATTTAAAAAATTTAGAAGATTTAAATTTAAGAGTTATAAATGATTTAAGTAATTCATTTTTATAAGTATATAAGTAGTAAGTAATATACTCAAAAGTAGAATAAATTTGTAAAAATAATTTTATTTAACTTTTGAAAAGATTGAATATTTTCTTTTGAATTTGGGATTAAAAGAATTATTCTTTTTTTTTTAATTTATTAATAAACTCAAATTCCAATTAAATCATATTTTTTGTAAATTATTGTATACTAATGTTTAAGAAATTTATAGTAAATTTATTTTTGATTATTTCTTTATTATTATAAGTTATTTTTTGAATTATTTTTTAAGAATTATTCTTTTAAAAGCATTTTATTTGGATACACTGATCAAATATAACAATGGAAACCTACTTTTCTAAAAAATATCTGGATAAAATCAAACTCTTTTAAAAGAATATTTGAATAGAATTAATTTTTTTGAAGAAATTTTTAAATAAATACCAAATTTAATAATTGAATTTAAAAACCATCAATAGATTTTGCAACTACTTATTTTAAATATTCTTTTTATATCTCATCACCTCTTTCTTCAATTCATTTTTTGAATACTTTTTATTATAATCAATATAATATAGTCTATTTACCACTTGTATCAGCTTCAATCAATTCTTTTCTACTGCTTTATTATTTATCAATGGATAATATTTTTCAAGACTCTTAGGATTAAGCAGACTGCCCTTATAATTTAAATCAATCTTGAAATAAATTTTTTTACAGGGCTAGAATGGTAAAGATAAAAGTAATAAATAAAAGAAGCATAATAATAACAACTTAAAAACAATCAGAATAATAGAAAGGATAAATAAAAAATACTACCACACAAAAATAGACTAGGTCAAAACAAAAAAATAAATAAAGGGAGAAGTGACAAAATTAATCTATCTATAATTATAAGTAAAATTATAATTAAAATTTTATCAATATTTTGTGATAACTTTTTAACTCTTTTACAAATAAATATATTAGGAAATAACAATCAAAGGAAAACAAAACTAGTAAATATATACATGAGAACTAACAAGTATGTGATGACTATTTCATTGTGCTAGTGACGGAGGACTTCGCGAATTTTTAAAAATATTCTATAAGCCTACCCGATCGAAAAAGAAGTGACCGCAGCAGTTGTTTATATTTCTATGAATTTGGGCAGAATACGTTCGTACCGACCTTCTCAGAGACAATATGTACTTATAAAATGGGATATAAGAAAGGTCCTACTTTGCTCCTGTGGTGTTAATGAGATGGAGAATTTATACAATCAGATAAGGTGAATGGTTTTTAGTTCATCATGGGCGAGATGTCAACGGGTTAATGACCTTTTAATGGTTGCAAATTGATGAACTCATATTAAAGATTTGTAACAAATCAAGACCCGAATTTGCTCCTGAAATTCTCAAATATTATATTAAATTGGCAATGCAATGTATGGATTCTGAATTATTGGAATGACCTACAGCTAAAGAAGATTTCGATGACATGGGAATAGGAATGAGATCTAGAACAAATCAAAGAGGCCGAAGATCATGGAATTAAGAAATTATTATTTCTTGGCAAACTCATCCAGATATGTATATGAACAAGCAGATCGATATGCGTGAAATATCTACTGAATACGTACCAAAAGTTTAAAGATCACCCAAGAATATAATCCGAGTTGAAGGAAAATCGATTCAGACAAAAAAAATTACGATTTTGGTTAACACAGTTTTTTACAATCTGTATCTTGAATTTTAGAAGTAAAAATTGATAAAATTGGTTTATAGATACGGCCGCAAAGATTCCACAGGCTTGCAGATTTTTACGAATGTATGAATGCACTATGTTAATTATTTTCCCTTGAACCTAACTCATATAACCGTATTTTTGCGCCATTAAAATTCATTTGCTCGTCTTTCTTAAATCCAATCTCTTTATAAAAATCATTCAAGCCTTGCATCAAACTTTCTATTTGGCAGGGTTTTCGATAATAAAATGCTTTCTTCACATTTAAAATCGTAATCATAATATACAGTATATTGTTGGTCACGTGGGTGACGCGATTTACGCGTAACGGGTCCAGAACTTAACTTAAAAAAACCGAAAGTCTGGTATGTGAGAATAGATGAGAATGATTGTCGCAAAGTGAGAAATTATGAATCATGGCTTGGGTAATAATAAGGGAACTGTGTGTGTGTGACGGAGTATAGAAAGTTTAGCAAGTCTAGCGTTAGCATAGTGTATTTCGAAGTGGTAGTCATTGTTAGAAAACATATATATAGCCAACCAATATAAGCCGAAAAAGGTAGATGTGCTGAGATAGCCATCATTGAAATAGAATAGTTAGTTATTAAAAAAAAGGAACTGGACGCGACACTTACTTTTGCCAACTCATTAACTACCTTTCTAAGTGCTTCTTTAAGAGAGGCGTTCCTTTCTTTTGTTTGTTGTTTGTTTTGTGGGTTTGGCTTGTTGATTGGTTACGTGAGACGCTAGGAATTAGCGACGGACTCGCCGGTTTAGCCCTCACGATATTTTTACAACAAAATAAACTGTTCCAGAAAGTTAAAATATTTTTCCCGATAAATTTGAAATTTATACTTGATACTTTTATTTTCAACTAATTAAATGCGGTGCTTTTTTTTTTTCTTATTCATGGCTGAATTTTTAGAATTTCGTAAATTCCGTACACTTGTAAATAACTTCATATTATAACAATAATAGGAATTTCATTCTAATTTTACCAAACAATCAATGCACACACATTCGTGAGGCGCGCATTGCATCGGATTATATACCATGTTGTATGTCATTTTTCTTGAAGTCGTCAAATTCTAAATCTTTGAATTCGTTTGGTTAAATTGTACCCATTCCAGCCATGTAAATATTTATGGTGTGATTCATCTTGTGATTCTGTCCCTAATTGGTTGGCTTAATTCCTATTGGTTAGGCGCAACTCTAATTGGTTAGCATATCATATACGTCATCTTGGGAAGAAATTGCCTTCGTCGTAGTAACAAAGGATTCTTTATTCTTTTTTTTAGGATCACGTTTGTTTCGATTAGTTTGGATCGTGCAACTTATTGAGGGAGGTCAAAGTCTACCTTGTATAAAATGGTGGTTTAAAGGAAAAAATTTCAGAGACTTGACCTCTCCGAGTGGTGCCCTTTGACGCGAAGTTTTGTTTTTTGCTGTGACTTTTTATGGAGAACTTTCGAATTAGTTTTTAAGGAAGAAAAGAAAAAATAAAGAAATTAAATACAACTTCTCTCGTTCTCTTATCATCTCAATCTCTATAATGACCATAATTGATATATCAAATATAGCCATCTATATAATTTGCAACGAAGATATTCGACTTATGACTCTACTCGTTTCGAGTCTTCGTAGCAAAGGCGCTGGTAACATTCATGTTTTAGTTTCCGATCAACTGGTGCAAGTAGGTATTAAGGGCATTAAGTGATTGGACCATGTGATTATACAGTGATTGAAGGTGCGTAGTTTTATAGCATATCAAAAGGAAAGAAACCATTGATGCAAACCTAATAAAGGGTACTTGGGAGGAAACTGTTAACTTTGAATCTGTAATAGCAAGTAATTAAAGCCTTATTACGAGTTATATTTTTAATTATACATTCCAGTTTCTTATTATTTTTCGTCTCACAGACGCAGTTATCGTGATCAGCATGCTATATCACGATTTTGAAAAACAACAAAAATTGGTACGTGACCATTCATGTCCACGGACGCAACTCCACCAACGACTTCTAGAATATACATCCGAAGTTACTGGATGCATACAATCCTCCCTTACCAATCCACAACCTTTCGTGCCGTACCATTTTCCCCACTCTTCGTTAGCGGATAAAACGCAATGGATTTTATTTCAAGTTAGAATATTCGACGATGAAATTCTGAAACATGATATCTCTACTGTCACCACCGCATTTAATAGTCCTAATCAATATATATTCATAAATGTCTCCTTGAAGTCGGATTTCGCCGAAATTGTAGCAAACACAATCGTCACCAAAAAGGCTCAACCTAATAGAAATTATGTAGTGGGAGAATTTGTTTCTCTCACTTTTTTGGGTCATATTTATAGAGTTATTAATCATGGTGCATATATAATTTTTTTTTAGTAACACTTGTTGGCTGCATTTGATTGATAATGTGTATAACGCCATTCGAATTTATTCGCAGGTCTCGAATATAATAGCAAAATTCTATGCGAAATCACCGAGTTCGAAACGACTAACCAACTACGCATATCTGGCCTAATATCGGCTCGTCCCATACCACGCATATTATACCCCAATTGCGACTCATATGTATATAAACTAGGCATAGAGGTCTCTTTTCAATACGGTGCCATTATCTACAATATGCTTAATCATCGGCGTGTGACCTTGAGGGATTGGGTTTTGCAGAAGATTGAAGAGAGGAATTTAAATCGTTTTGTCAGGATCAGATATGACGGGTAGTAAAAATTTCGGTTTCAAAAAAAAAGAAAGAAAGAAAGAAAGAAAAAAAAGATTTTTATAATTATTATGTATTTTGAAATTCTTAAGAAAATTCTCTGATTTTCGTAAAGAAGCTTATTATCATAATAAAGTTTATTGAAGTCATGAAGCGTTATTTTTTTTTATAAAAGAAAATTTACGTGAATCTCAATTATTCCTATACAGTATAGGACAGTACGCTCGCACTTCATGTTTAAATGCATTTTACCTATCCTTCGTAGCTCCAGTCATATTTTTGATGGACGATTCCTTCATTAGTATCCGAGATAATTTTTCCACATTACTGTTTTTCGTGACTCAATTAATTTGACATTATGGTAAATTTTTGTACAGCATAATATTTACTTAACCTTCATTTAAAATGATAAGAAAAAAGTTTTTGGTAGATAAAATCTTGCAAAATAGAAAAAAGAATTGTCGCTTGAATAATTATTTACTGTACGCATAATACTGTATATTGGTTTGTAACTCGTTTTTTTTTTTTTTAAAGAAAATTTGCACATACGCTTAAACAAATATTATTTTTATGCTAAATTAATGTGGATTTCTCATATTAGATACAAATAATAGCAATTAAAAATCGATCAATTTGTTAAACAATGAAGTTAAACCGACTGAGACGAAGTCACAAGAGAGCTATTATCGCGAGGATATGGCTTCAGATAATTCATGATGAATTGTGTTATCCCATCTTGAGTTAGAATAATTACGTAAGGAATCATAATACGTAGGTTTTCGTGATAATTTTGTCACGTTTGTTTTCCCAAAACTTTGCACGCAATCGTATCTAGTAAACATGTCATACATTAAAACTCGTTCGCGCAATACTAAATAAAAGGACATGTCAAATGATAAAAAAACACAGAACGATATTGGGCGAACATCAAAATCTTTGTCAGCTTCTGAACCTGAATACGGAAGGAAGTAAGACTTACCTGATTGATCGTACCGTTTACCAAAAGTTATGATAATAATAAAAAGTTTATAGATTAGTATTTTATATTCTTGGAAATATTTTATTTGGATCTTTTTCAAGAAAAAAATTTCTAAGAGACAACTTATCAATATATATAAATTTTTTGGAGTAATGTTTATTTATGGTATAAAAAAATAGATCAATTGTTAAACAATAAAGTTAAGTTACATATTTTTATTTTCAAAAATTTTATGCTATAAATTAATAGAGCAATATATGTTAGAGAATAATAATTATTACTTATTTTTTTTTTTTTTTTTAAACGCTTTGTCAAGCTAGGTATGTTTACTTTATTAAATGTTTGTACGTTTTACATTATAAAATGTTTCAAAAATCTAATTTTTTACTAACTCACTTGTCTCTATTTAAATTTACCAAAACTTTAAATACAACTTCAAGAGTGATTTATCATTTCATTAGTAGTTCTGGTAAAGACCATTCTAACTGCTAATTTCATTGCCTGCAAGTCATTACTACAGATCATCATTTGATGTTTTAAAATCCCAATTACTTTATTTAATACTTCACTCTTTTTATTAAGATCTCCTTTTTCTTTCTTTGATAGTGATTCTCTTCACATTGAAAAGTATTGAGTATTTATAGTATTTTATTAAAAGTTTGATTATAGTATTTATTATATCTTCTCTTTTTTAGTTATTATTTGTAATATTTATTGTATTTTATTTGCTATTAAATCTAATATTAAATTATATATTTATTATTTGCTTACAATTTATGGATTAATTCATGTTTATTTAGTTTGTTGTTTTGTTTTGAATTATTAATTTATCTGCTACTGTTGTGTTTTATAAACCAAATAAGATATAAACAAGTATTTATTTATTGTTTACTTTTTTATTAATTGTTTGGATTGTATTTATAAATCTTTTTTAGAATAAATCAGTTATTGGTAATATTATTTATAATAAGTCTAGAATATATAATATATTTGTTTATATTAAGAAACATATTATGTAAATTGCTGTTGTAGACTAAATTGTTTACTAGAATGTGTTTATGTTTATATTTATGATTGTGTTTTGAATATATTTTTCAGCTATTGTTCTTGAATTTCTGATATTCTTTTGGATCTTGCAAGTTTTTAAGTTTTGCTAGTTTATTGATTAAAATATTATATTGTGAGCTTTCTTCTAATATCTAAAAAGATTAAATCTATGCTGATTTAATTAGAAGTTAAAAAAGTTGATATTGGATTTTTTGATCCTACTATGATTTAAATTTTGTGTTTTATTTTCTTTTTTCTCAGTGTCAACTTTAGCAATTTATTATTTTTCAGAATAATCAACAGTAACAAACTGTTGACAATAATTCTGATTAACTTAAAGGTACTATACCAAACTACTAGAAGAGTATAATATTGTCCCTTAAATCAGACTTAGAGTAACTAGTTTAGACTTAGTTTTGTT